TGTGGGACTTGTTCTAATACTTCACTAGAATCACTACCTTTAAGGGCCTCGTTAGACACTCCTTGGGGACGTGAAATCCACAAGGACGTGCTCGTTCCACCTGTCCTTGGGGACGAAATTGAAAAAGAAATGTGAAAACGCCACAAGGAAAATTCCTTGTGGCATCCTTGTGGCCCCAGCCATTTCTTCCTTGTGCCCAAGGGACCTCACGAGGTCCCTCGGGCACAAGGAATCCGCGTTTCACGGAGAGGAGAGGGCACACGGGTAGATAGACGTTACAGCTGAGAATCTGGATCGTGGCGGCACCCTATTGGCTGAAGGCCTGAAGCACAATTGTTTTTTTTTTTCTTTTCTTTTCTTTTTCTGACATCAGTCTTAGAAAATGTCCTCGGGCGACGTCCCCGAGGACAGGTGGAACGAAGAGCCCAAATTCCCTTACGAGCCACAAGGAAAATTCCTTGTGGCACAAGGAACTCGTAAGGAGTGTCTAACGAGGCCCTAAATTAGGGTATGTTCGTGCTTTAGTGATACTTTAGGGTAGTGTGGTTATTGAAGTTTGTTGTTGATGGTAAAACTGGCTAGGGTCCGAGATTTTTTGTTTTTTTTTTTATTGAACACTTGGCTGCGTTCGGGGATGGGATATGCCGGCAGTGCGTTTCTCAGCCCCGTAGGGCTGTGGCAGGACCTGTTTTCCAGTTTATAAAAAAAAGTTGTTAAAAAAAAAAAAAAAAAAAAAAAAAAAAATGCTTTCAGTGCACGGAAGTTTGCACCGAAGGTCCTCTGGGAGGGTGGACCTGTTTTCTAGCAGGTGGCGCTCCCCACCAATAGAAGGGAGCCATCATGTTAAACAAAAAGAAAGAAAGAAAGAAAGAAAGAAAACTCTGAAAAAGAGCGGAAGGAAAAAGAGAAGACTAATTGCCATGGCCCCTAGCAAAGAGGATTGGATTCAGCTCCTAAATATGGAAGTGTATTTTATGCAGAGATCCACAAAAGTACTTCCATAGCAATTTCCTGCACCTCTCCACAAAAAACACGCCCACATTCGGGCATTAAATCCAGTCCTCCTTGATAGTGGGACCTCGCCCCAGGTGCCCACAAGCCGTTGAGATTTCAGGCACCAAGGACCACGGCGGTCCCACCGGCAAAGAGGATTGGATTAAACCACCAGTACATCTGGAAAGTGCGAATGAGCCTCTCTGAAAAAGTTAGGAGATAAACCTGGGCTTAGGGAGAAAAAAAAAAAAAAAAAAAAAAGGAGACTATTTTCCAGGCTCTACAACAACCTGGGCTTAGGAAAAAAAAAGGAGACTCCGTTTTCGAGGGTCTATAATCCAGCCTCTACAACAACCTGGGCTTAGGAAAAAAAAAGGAGACTCTGTTTTCCAGGGTCTATAATCCAGCCTCTACAACAACCTGGGCTTAGGGGAAAAAAAAAAAAAAAAAAAAAAAGAAGGAGACTCTGTTTTCGAGGGTCTTTTCTTGTCAGACAAATCAACCAATCTTCGGTGAAACTTCATCATATCCGTCGGAGTATCAAGTGTGACTGGAGGCCGAAAATTTCGGTTGCCTAAGACAAAGGACCATTCATTGGCTTGCTATGGTTTCTGGAAACCTGAGGGCCTCTTCACACCACTCTTGGAACGGGGAAATTTTTCAAGAGCTGTCAGACGTTCTCAAGAGTTGGGTTTTCGAGAGTTTCGGGCCCCTCGCCACACAGCACTCTCGAAAGGGCGATGGTGTTGGACAAAGAATGAAAAACGACAGTCGTACAGCTTTGTTTTTTCAGAATGGCCTCAGGATAACGGCCTGACACCTCTCGAAAATCAAGAGCCCTTCGAGTGCCCTCGGGAGGACGCTTGAAAAGTGCTGCAGGCTGGGCGTTTCGGAGTTTCGAGAGATACTCTTGAAACGAGGTTCTGACAACTCTGGAAAGAGTTTTCGGGCTACAACTCTCAAGCGGCTGTGTGGCAACACGTCCAACTCTTGGAAAGCGGCTGTGTGGCAACACGTCCAACTCTTGAAAACGCAGTTTCGTCCTTCGGGACATCCGTTAAAATTGGAACGATACAGAGAAGATTAGCATGGCCCCTGCGCAAGGATGACATAAGGGAAAAAAAAAAAAAAAAAAAAACGCAGTTTCAAGAGTGGTGTGG